ATGGTGGTAAGTTTTTTAAAATCCAATGAGTGGATCACATAATATTTCAAAATTTTTAACTTTTGAGTATAGATGATCCGCACTGTAGGTGTCCTGCACTATACACAACGCAATCATTTTTGTAACACTTGAAATTTCCTTTTTTTTTCGAAAAATTCCTTTTTTAAACAAAATTCTATATGAAAAAATGACCGAAAATCCCCTTTTTAAAGCTAAATACGTCGCACTAAATTAAATTCGTCATATTCTTTGTTTAAATTAAATTAAAAAAAAAATAGTAGATCAAAACCAAAGCATACAATCTATTCCAGTAAGGGAAAAAGCAATGTTACGGGATTTGAGCAGTCTTTTGTAAGTGTTAAATAATGATAATAATAATTAATAAATAATAAAAAAAAAAAATTTAATTAAAATAAATTAAATAATTAATTAATAATTAGTTAATTAATAAGCCACCGTTATTTTTTATTTAATTAATCACTGAAACTGTATTACGTTTCGTCATTAGATCTGCTCTCTCAATTTTTTGATTTTTCACATTCGGTCTATTTAGTCGAACTTATCCAAAATGACAAAAATCGGCTATTACGTACTTCTCTGTTGTTGTTCACCCTTTTTGGTTATTTTATTATTGGCTTCTCTTTTTACTTATTTATTTTGGGGAATCTTACTTAGCCCAATTTGGTTAATCATACTCTTGGTGATACTTGCGTATTTTGGATATTATAAATGGGCAAGGTAACTGTATAATCGTCATTTTTTTTTCAAATTGATAAAAAGCCCGATACTCACAAATTTTTTACAGAGAAAACTATTTCAATAGAAAAATGAATTTTCCAGCGAAGTTTTCTGAAGAAACAAAAAATCAAGTCGCTTTATGGCATGATATCATTCAAAATAAACATAAGGATGATGACGATGATGACGATGAAATTTTTTGTAACGACCCATTATTAATCATCGAGTATAATCAACCGGGTCTCGCAAGCCGAAATATCACTGAAAATAATGTTAGCGCAGGTATAACCATAAATATTTATATAATTCATTAAAAAAGTTTTCTAACTATTTTTTGGATTAGTAATCAGAGGAACTCCAAACTATACTCCTATCGCATTTCCAAGGGCAAACCTGGCACAATCAAATTCAGTATTCGCATTTAACGATATGCAGATAATGGAAGATGCTATTGCACGATTATATGAAAACTATAATAACAATGTGACAGGACGACAAGATATTATTGTTGGACGGGTATATTGTGTGTTATTTCGCAGGGCCAATACATTTGATGTTATTGAACGACGACATGTTTTTGATTGATATAGTCATCGTTTACTTTTCTATCTTAGCTTTTTTTGTTATAAATTAAAGTAGAGAGAATTTTTTTTTTGCATTAATTTTGATGCTAATAATATTTTTGGGCTTACTACTTTAAATTATGAAATGTAATTTAATAGGGCAAATTATAGTTTATTAATTGAAATTTATTAATTTAAATATGATTATTTATTAATTAATTATAACAATAATAGTAATAGTAATAAGTAGTTAGTTGATAAAGTTAAAGTGGTGAATCATCGATTGGTAGATAAATAATTTATTTTGTTTGTTTTTATTATTATTTTGAAAATAAATTTGATTAATTTCACATTTTTATAATTGAATAATTAATATAATACATAATTCTCCTAATGTCAGAAATCAAAATAAATAATCAAATGAATGCGAAATAACATCATTAAACACTAATACTATTACTAATATTATTACCAATACTATAATATCGAGTTTATATTTTTTTTGTATATTTGATACGTATACTCAATTGAAAAACATGATTTTGCTGATCACTTTTAATCAATTAACTCTATACCAATGTTTATTTACAAAAGTTTTAGAATAATTAATGTTATGGGTATGGATAACTTCTACGATGGAGACGATTTCACCAGGACCTGCAAAAATTCTGGATTAAATATCTTGATCAGGGATGTTGGATGCTCAATAAGATGAATTGGAGGCTGTTATTTATCAACATTCGGAAAACCAAAGAAAAATTCAAAGAATCTGAAAAAATAATTTTGAAGCTTTCTTTTATTGTAAAGAAAGTCATAAAAAAAAATGAACCAACTTGTTGATAAAATTCTTTGAGGTAAATTTACAATAAAATACAGCACCAATTATATTTACATTTGTTTCACTTCATACAAAAGAACTTCATTTTGTTGAAATCAATCATCAACCTTCAAAATAAAAGCTGAAATCTCAAATAATAACCTATGAAGCAGAAAAACCGCATAGACAAGAAACTATATTGAAATATTTGCTACAAAAATAACCTAATAAACAAATTACTGAAACTTACCTTGAAGAGATCGATAATCCCTTCACCATTCTACAACATTATCATAGCTACAAAGATCCACTATTATATCAAGACAACCCACCACTTACTCTGACAAATTTATTAAATCACACGTAGTGCCAACATTAATAAAAGAAGCACCTATTTTTAGATGTATGGTACCTGAATGTATAAATTCGTCATGCAATGTAGCTAGTGGAGCTTTAGAGATTATTTAGAATACCACAGCATTCCTGGCATTGAATTTTTCTACATTGGTGCGAAGGTGAAAAACATCTAGCAAAAGAAATGGAATGTCTTTTTAGTTAATTTTGTGTCAATCATTCCTAAACAAAAAAATATAAATTCAATATTATAATTGTTATTAATATTAGTAAATAGTATTAGTGTTGAAAATTATGCATTATATTAATTATTCAATTATAAATATGTGTCTGGAGGAAATTTATTTTCAAAATAATAAAAACAAACAAAATAAATCATTTATCTACCAATAAATGATTCACCCCATTCTCCAACTTTAACCTTATCAACTAACTACTTATTACTATTACTATTATTGTTATAATTAATTAACAAATAATCATATTTAAATTAATAAATTTCGATTAATAAACTATATTTCATAATTTAATAAGCTATCATTACTTAAATTCAATTCAGCAATTCCATCATTTAATATTCTACTTGTATGATATGCTAATGGATGTGATTTGTGTACTTGTTGTGAATTACTGTTATTACCATTCCTATTACTACTACTACCACCACTACTGTTATTATTACCACCACCACCAATATTACTACTACTTTCATTAGGACTCTCAGTTTTAAATTCATTATGAGAAAAATCCCAAAGCTCTTTGCTAGTTGGTCTCTTGGCTGGATCTACATCCCAACATCTTTGCATCATTTGTACATAATCACCTGGCATTCCTG